TTTGAGTGACTTTCTAGTTCTCTTCAGTGACACAAGAGTGTATGGTGGATTTTCTTTCTTTGAAATTCATGTTCGTAATACTGAACTAGAAGTACTTTTTAGATAATAACATCATTCTTGAAATGAATCCACAATCACAAGAAGATCTTTATTGTAGATCTCATAGTTGATCTCAAGTGCTAAAAATTTCTTGGAATAAAAAGCTATCAGGTGGAGCTTATCATCTGCTACTATTTGTCACAAAATAACATCTATAGTAAATTCCAATGTATTTGTTTTTATGGAGAATGCCTTGGAAAAATCAACACAGTATAAGATTAGTGCAAAAATAAATAATGTCTTTGAAACTTCAAAATATACTTCATCTTCTTTGCTTCACTCAAGTTTGTCTTTACATGTCATGCATATAAAAAGAGCCACAACTTAAGAAAAGGTTTTGATGAAGATTTTATAAAATTTGACGAATCTCAAAAAAACATTGCACATCTTTAATTATTTTTGGGATCTTCCAATCCATGATAGTTTGGATTATCTTAGGATCTATTATAAGACCATTGTTTGAAATGATATACTATAAAGTCAACTTGAGTATTATGAAATATATATTTTTTCATCATGGCATATAATCATGTATCTCTTATTTTTTGTAATACACGACAAACATAAACTTTATGTTCTTTTGTGTTCTTAGAATAGATTAAGATGTTGTCTAAATAACAAACAACAAAATCATCATAAAACATACAAAAGATATCATTCATTAGATGTTGAAAAGTAGTTGGTGCATTTATCTAAAAAGCATGATATTGTATTCAAAATATCTATATATAGTTCAAAATGCAATTTTTCATTCATCTCTTTGTTTAATGTATACCAAGTTATATGCTCCTTGTAGATTTATTTTTATATAAGTCTTTGCTTGATTCAATTGATTAAAAATTCTTAAAATTAAAAGTAGAAGATATCTATTCCTAATGGTGATCTTATTAAGTTCTTAATAGTCTATACATATTTATGAAGATCCATTTTTTTCTACACAAATAAGATAAAAGCCCCAATTGAAGATTTAGAATGGCATATGAAGTTTTTAACCAAATTCTCATGAATGTATTCTTTGATTGCTGCCAACTTGTTTTTTCATAAGCTATAGATTGGTCCAAATAGTGGTTGAGTTCTTTTTTAAAGATCAATGTAACAATCATAGAGAAGATGCTCTGAAAGAATGTTTGTATTTATTTTTCAAAAATATTTTAAGAATCTTGATAGTAACTAGGAATATCACTTAACGTCTTTTTACCATCAAAAATAGATGTGGTGTATATAGCAAAAGATGATCATTTTTTTACTACATACATAAAAGTTCTTGCACCTATCAATAAAGATTTGGATATATTAGACTTATATATTTTTACTTGACTAATAAAATTTTGGATTAAATATTTGAAAATATTAAGTTTATAAAAAATTCAATCTATTTTAGGATTATACTTTTTCAACCATGATAATCTTAAAATAATTAGGTTAGAAAGTCATCATATAACATTAAATATTACTTTGCTATTATGATCTTTAATCGCTACATATAAAGTAACAGTCTCATAGATATTATCTCCAAAAGATAACAAACGACCATCTATGATTTCTACATATATATATATATATATATATATATATATATATTTAGTTCTCTTGATTAATAATATCTCTTATTTTTTGATAAAATCTTCATCTATAAAAACAAGTTGAGGCTCATGAATCTAACAAGGCTAAGATTTTGTGATTTTTTGGTCCTAAATAAACTTCTATTTTCAAATAAGGTGAGAGATTTGAAGAAAGAATAAGACCTCTCTTAGATGTTATGTAAGATTCCAAATGCACGATTCTTATTGTAGCTAAAGAAACTCGTTTTTTGACACATCTTCTTTAGAAACTATACTCCTCACTTTGTCATTGTTTTGCTTCTTTGAACAATGTTGAGCAATGTATTTGGATTTTCTGCAATATAAGTGTAAATCTTCTTAATAATGACGAGTCATTTCTTACTTAGTAAGAGATTTCAAACATATTGTATTAACTTGCATAAGCTTTGGCCTGGACAAATAAGTTTCCAAAAACTAAGAAGGTGTTGCTATGACTTAATTTATATTTCTCCAATCAAATCTTTATTCTTGGCATCTTTTAAAAATTCATTTGTCATATGTAATTGCTTCAGCAATAAATTATTCTAGTAAATCTACTTTTGACATTGTCAACAATAAATTTTTGATATTATCTTTTAATCCATATCAAAATTGATTGATTAGGGATTTGTTATTTTAATCCACATCACAAATAAGATTTTGGAATTCAACAGCATATGTGGTGGTTGAACGTGATCCTTGTTGTAGAGATACAAGCTTGATCTTTGCAATCCTTTCTTAATCACTTTTTTGAATGCCTACAAAGTATATCATATTATACTATTTTTTGCTAAAAGGGGCTAAATTAATGTTTTTATTTGATTTAAAATCTTACACATGCATTCTCTCTTTCTTTCTTTATATATATATATATATATATATAATTAGCTTTTTAATTCAAATTATAAGGTGATTATATTTCAGAATTATTTATAAATATTAGTTTATTTTAAAATACATAATAAAAAAAAATTTAAAAATTAATAAAAAATATACATATAAAAAATAAATGTCATCTATTTATTAGATTTTTATTTAATAAATGATAAAATTAATGATTAAATAAAATATTTTAGTATGATTTTGTTGTATTTCTAATAAAATTAAAATTAAATGAATTAGAGTTACTTTAAATATAATATATTAAACGAAATTTAAAAACATAAAATATATATACATATGTATAATTAGAATTTATCATACCAATAACTTAGTATTATGATTAAAGATTTGAGTCTTATTGAGACTTGTAAGTGGTGTTTGACTTCATCATAGTATTTAAAAATACTTGATTATTCTTAATATATCAATACAACTTTAAATCTTGTTATTACTTTTTACAATGATTTCAATAAGTCGGTAAAATTATTTCTATGAAAATCTTTTAAATATATTCTAAAAATTATTATATAATTCCATAATAATTCTAAAATCTTTAAAATAATATTTTAATACTTCTGAGATGCTGATATCCCATTATAGCGACATTAATACACCTTGGTTTTTTTATAGCAAAAAATTTACTTAAAATATTAAAAAAACTTCTATATTTATATAAAGTATAAGAAATACATAATTTTTTTAATATGGTTTCTTCTACTTGTTAATTATTATTTATAGATTTTAATAATTAATATTTTAAAGAAATTACCAATTTAAACATCAATCTCAAGAACTTAGTATAATTATTATTATTATTATTATATATACATACATATATATTAGACTAATTCGGATAAAAAAAATCAATTTTTTTTTTTTTTTTTTGTTAAAGTCTGAAATGCACATCACTATATTTTATACATCTGTAAAATGATTTCTTTCAAAAATATGCATATAATGTATTTCTTTCTTTGAGTTATCTTTTGTAAGATAACTACAAATTTTATTTATATTCATTTTGGTATTAGACAAGTTTTATTTAGTACATCTTCAAACTAAAAATATACTGAATATACATCTAGCATATTAAATTTTAATATACCAAATTTATAAATTTGATATTGAATATGACTTAAATTAAATATAAAGTCTTGAAACATAATCAACCTTTGCATTAGAAAATTTATTATCAACTAATAATAAACATATCTCTTAACTTTCATATTAAATGATGTTAGAAATGATAAAACTATTAATACAAGAAGAAAAGTCTTTTAACTGATGTCGTTTTACAGGCATTTTCATCACCTTGCAATTTCATGACTAGAAAATTTTGTTGATTGTTGTAGACTTGTATAAAGTTGATGTTTTGCAACCACATACTGTTTTATATTACAAGCACAGATTCAATCATTAGTGAATGAAATTTTGCCACAACACCTATAATTTTTGCTATTTATATTCTAAATTTATTTTAAATTCGCCATGTACAATCAATTGCAAACTCAATATACAAATATTTAATAATATCAAAAAAATTAAAAACAAAACAAAATAATTACGTACGAGAAAACAACATCAAATCGGAATTCATGAGGCCTTAATCAGCACGCACGATTGAGAACCGATAGTTTCGGTAATTATTCTGGGTATCAATTTTACCAGGTCCTCGACAGAAAAAACGGACCTCAATCTCAGAAGCTCACGCCTTCGAGAATTTGTGCTGTTTTCCTTGCAACTCTCCATGACGAGCTTCGAAGCTCACACCACCTTCGATCTGGTCGCCGAGCGCGACCGAACCTGGCAGCAAGCTCGACGATATCAAAGGAAAAACTTGAGTGGGACCGCGTTTTCAACGAGTGCGTCTTGTATGCGAAAAACGGATTTCAATTCCTTCAAGATCAACCAAAGCTCAATATGGCCAATTATCCAGGCCGTTATCAAGCTCAAGTACAACTTCAAGTCTATAGATCATGCTTCACCGGCACTGCTACCGGTGGGTTGGATCATCCTTGTGGAGTGAGACCAGGAGTTTCGTTATATCAACTTAAATTTGGGATTAACTTAATGGTCGTGGTTAGTGGTCGCTTGATGTAGGTGATGGAACTGAGGTTGCGAATACGTGTTCGAAGTGCCGGATGGGTTTGGAAATATGGGTTGGGTTTTAAGTAAATTATCCTGGTCTGATAAATTTCCTCGTAACCTTCTCTGAAACAGTCAAGAACTAATCCAACATTGCCAACAATTGTGATGGTAGTATCACATAGACGACAAATGTGTTGTTAGATTAAGTCGCTTGTTTGCCATGCCGAGAAACGACCTGTGCCACCCTCAGATAACTGCAGTACACCTATTTTTTATATTTTTTGTAATTGTCAAGGAAAGGGTTGTAGACATTTACTGAACAATTTGCACCATCCTTTCTGGTTGATGCTACAAGCCATTGATCTTGTTTCACTTTGGTCATAATAGATTCTTTTTTTAGTGCGAAGATGATTTTTATTCTGATTATTATTATTGTTATTTTTTCACTGTTCCAGGTAACTGACCGATGATGACATTAAGCATCGAAGGACACACCTAAACTTTCTTTCCGAGATTGCCTTGCTACTTTGAAGAAGTCTGTACGTCCCCGAAGTAGGCCAATGGCAGGCCCCGGTGTAGAGACCTTCTCGCGGTCCCGGACAAGTGGACAGGTCACGATTTGGTGGTGACAAGGAAAGCTACAGAAGTAGCAGCAGCGGCCGTGGGGATGGATTTGGCAGAGAGAAAGGTGGAGCACCTGGAAGAGTATCGACCTGAGTTTAAAGGTGGACGAGGTGGCTTCCGTCCTGGAACTGCTGGAGGATTTGGAGGCGGCACCCTAAGTGCTTTTACTGAGTAGGGTGTCGCACTTTTTACACTTCGTGTTCATTCTGCATCTGGGGTCTTAACGAGAGAAAGTAAAGGGTGGGTTTCTGGATCATTCCCGTGGTTTTCTTCTCAGTGAAACGGGAAAGCTATGCCTCACAGTTTTGTTGAATCTGATGGTGCTGAACGATGAGATAGTACTCCATCTTCTTTCGCTATTTTGATCGCAGAAAGTCTAATGTGGCCTTTCTCGCTTGTATCTGTTCGGTGTGTGTATCGACAGACAGAAATTTCATATGCCTGCTTGTTCCGATACCTTATTTACGCGGGTACCGACTGGGTATATTAAACCTCTTCAAACTATTTGATAGTTACTTCACATGGTGATCTTAGCGTCCACTATAGAGCAACTTACATTCTGAATCGGTGTGACTGCCGCAGTAGGTAGTTTCGCTGCTGATAAGTTGTAGGATATTCGCTTATCACTTTTGGTCTTGGGTTTAAGGATTGCAGACATTTTTACCATTGGAATTGGTTGAAGTTTTCTCTGTTGAAAAAGTTTCCAGACAGCAAGGCTAGCAAGTTGTAACTGCTGCACGATGTATGAATATTGTTCGTACTTTTTCTACAACGTCGACGACCTTGTCATTTTATCTAAACCGTCCTTTCTTGCGTAGTCTAAGTCTCCGATATCGACGGATGGAAAACCCAGAAAGGTGGACATGTCATGCTTTACACGATCTCGTGAAAAGTATGCCGAGTAGACTCACTCCTAACAGACAGACCAGAACCAGTCTCATCTTTAGTGTTCTATTGTAAAGATTCCACTTTTTGGAGGGGCGGTCAAGATATTCGGGCATAAAGCACTTGGACTCGTTGATGTGGAATATCTTATGCAGTCGGTGTGCAGGTTATGTACCAGGCGCCAGCTTTAATAAATGCTGAGTGACGAATAACGATGCTGCTTCACCGGAAGAATATCAAGAATATCCTATCTTTAGGTGTCCATGTAGAGAAATGTAAGTGTTGAAATCCAATGAAAGAGCACTATTGTTTGGAATTGTTTGGCCACCCGACCGGGTTTCTTTACCAAGATTTCAACCAAGACTTAGGTTTTCCATGTTAGACCACTTGATTTCAATTTCTCCCAACTGATTGTCTAGGAACGAACTCACAATGTGGGTTTTTTTTGAAGGTGGCTAGGCACGAATCGGCTCTCATACGGAGTTTCTTAGTCGAGGTAACTGATGTGAAGATGTCAATGTGCGGTTACCGTTATTGTAGCAAATTTTGAAAGACGATAGCATTATTTTCGGTTTCTGGGTATGGAACATGTTTAGCGTCAGGAGCACCGGATTCTGATGCCATGATGCGGCATTTATTAATTGTCACGAAATGAAACTTGACACCAGGAGAAGGTCACTGAAAAGACCAACACTGCCTGGCAAGTTTAACGGATCTCCGCATCGTGAACTGTTCCTGTAACTGCGAGAGTGACTTCGAGATTGTTGTTCCTCTGATGGCGGCAAACAAAGTCACTTGAGCAGTGGTGGTGGCGCTATTGACAAGCTCCATCATTGCATTGGGTCACGCCGTCGCCACAGAAGAGCATCAGAGACTGATCCCTTCGCTCATAAACTTTATTACGTACGACATGGGTTGTGATCTGTCTGGGTGAGAACGTGGAACGGGCACAGCATGTCAGTTGTAGGGTTCGGAATTAGAATCTATGCAATTCTTTATAAACTCGTCGTGAAGGATTCAAAAAGTAGAATTCGAAAGGAAAAAAATAAATAAAACAACTATGAACAATTTTACGCAGGCAGCTACCACCAATGTAAGCTTGGAATCGTTGGGTAGCAACATACACTTTGTTTTCGATTAGCCCGACAGGACGTTAGCCAATGAATATTACAGTTCGGAAAACTAGACACAAACTATGTTTTGTATTATCTGAGATATGCTGCTTGGGTAACGCCAACAAGACTGCGCTCAGATCTGGGCAACTGCAGCTTGTAACAGAAAAAAGAAAGAATTATCTTGTGTGTGACGTGCGAGAACATGGACAAAGGATACGTGGAGTCACACCTGCTCTCGCCTCTTTCTCCATGTTGGCTGAAAAAGATAAACGTGTGCTTTGTCTGCAGCAGAAACGACGAGAAAAGGTTAGAGAATTTTAGGAACGGAGGTGGCGGGGCCTCTGGGTCCGCAAACCAGGCCATACCGGGTCCATAGGTGTTTAGGGGTGACGATACCCCGGTACTCAAGGCGCAAACTATTAGGAATTTAATTGAGGAATAAACCAAGTTCCAAACAGAAATGGCGAAGGGCCGTAAACGCAAATAGTCGGAGACCTCGCACCAAGTTATAACCATCGTTACACTAGAACCGGTTAAAATCTTCTTTGTTCAGTTCTGCTAGCAATGGAAATGTGTATCTCTGAACTTTCGGCTCATTCATACATCGATGCACATGTTTCAAGACAGGCACATGAATTACAGAAAGAGAATTTCCTGGAGCACGTGATCGACTTAGAATAATTACCCTAAAAAATCCAAGTACAGAAAGTGAATTTCGATGTGTCCTCACATAATTGATCAGAAATCGAAGCTAGACAAGAGATACACCATCTTTAATTCATTATGAATGGACCCTGATCATAGTGATCGGATTTTATCATGCAAGTACCTGCCTACCAATTGGGGCAGTAAAAATGAAGGACCCAACTATAAACGGGTTATGAGTTCTAAAAATTAGCCGAGGCAAAATCTCAGTTGAGAATGGAACCAAGATTTACTGTTTTAGGGATGGCTCTGAAATTCTGTGTGATAACTCTCAAATTACCTTGATCGCAACCAAAATGGATAAAAGAAAAAAAGGAAGAAGGTTTAAAAAAAAAAGGAAAAACACAGATACGTAACCCATGTACAGACTGAATCCCATCTAGCTAGCTACACACCCTCAACGACTTTACAATCGATTTTTCGTCGGAGGTGCGAAAGTTGGGGTCGGGGCAATAATGTTACAGAGGTTGTTTGTTGCCATCAGAGGCAATTCTTATCACCCCATCCATAGTCCTGATCAATCCGTAAGGCCATTCTCATCCATGGAGTCTGGACCAAAAATATCTGGGCAGCCATCCCAACTCCCACTGTCTCGTGCTTCCCAATAGCCTCCTATATATTCAAAAGTATCCTTCCCCTTCCCTTTCCGAAACCAACGCGGTTGCCATCCTTTCTCTTGAAGAGTCCGAGCCTGGTCCATCCAACTCTTAAATCAGTTTCTAAATAGTTTCCTTAGATTATAATGCAAACCGTATACATGTGCACTGGCCCTTCAATGCTCGTGCACGTAATCTACATAGCTCCATCAGCATAACATGCAATTCTCTGGAAAAGGCAAGGACATTATGACACCCACCCGTCGCTGCTTTTGTTCAAGTCGCAGTTTTTCTGAATTGGCAGCATCATATTCGCCATTCTCTAGATGTCTTTGATCAGGTCTCAACCTTGAATCTGTAGGTGGCAACTTTTCCTTCAAAACAAACAACATCTATAAGTGGGTAAAGATCGACCAAAGTATCGTTTCCACTAAGCTGCAAAAGATTTACGTTGGCGTAAGTTAAGCGAAGCTCGAGTGTATGCCTGAATAAACTACAGATACTTACCCTCAGCCCTGGAGTGATCTCATTTAAAGTTATGGAAAAGCCTGTAAGACCGTAGCGGGTTAGCTTCTCTGGTGGGGCAGCAGCCCTCCACAACAAGACGGCCTCAGACATGGGATCATAGTGCTTTGGCTTCTCTGAAATATCTCCCATTACGTAATACATAGACTCGTCCCACTTGCCGAACAACGTTGCGATCTTCGTCCCGCTTTTATCATGTACAAATCCTTGAACCTGCTAACACCGATTTAGGTAGTACAGGTTAACACAGCAGGCCTGGGTCGGTTCAATCGTACTACAATAGATGTGCCTTGGAGTACAAATCATCAAGAGAAACAAAAGAAAACCTCAAAAAAGAGTTCAATGATGGAAATCCTTTATGATTGAATCATGCTACTCTTGACATCAATGATTCGATTGCAGCTCAACATCTCCTTTCAAACCTCGACACGTCAATTGAGAAGTTTGTTCATCGCTCTAAAATCCAGAAATTACAAGTCTAGCCGTTGACAATCTCTGGGTCTTAGCGCATGACCTTCAATTTTAATTGCTAAATTGAGTTGAAAAGTTAGAGAACCTGATGAGGGTTGCGATCAATTATTGACTGCTCCTTGAACTTCAATTTTATTGAGAGATCCCGGTTACCTTGTATGCGCATGGTACCGTAATGATCCACATAGAGCTTTCCTAAAATTAAATTATATATTGATGTCGTAACCTGCAAATAGGAAAAAAGGTAAGCAATATGAACAGTGATATGAGAATATCTCTTGCCATAGATATAAGATCACATCCTCGGAATGCAAATGCAAATAAATCATTAATAAGGTGAGTCAGTAATAAGCACACAAAAAACGTCGTCCATTTCAAATTGTGTATATTCAGCAGTAACAATATTTAGATAAATATATAAGTTACAGAACAAGAGCATACTTTAGTCCATTGAAAAACTTCGCCATCGTCAAATTTCAATGTGAGAATGCCGACAGGGTCCACTTGGATAGAACGGCCCCAAAACTTGCTTTTCAAGTTGCTGTCACCCCAGAATGTCCACCCTCTGCCCTCGCAATGGCATGCAACAATCATTGGATGATGACTGACCTGTACAAAATAAAAATAAAAATAAAAATAAAAACACGTAGAGATGGAAGATGCAAATTAATTAGCTCATATTATGTTCTGAAGTTCGAAATGTTTAAAGAACAAGAGATACAAATTATCATCTTCAGCTCACAGGAAAATAAATTAATTAATAATATAATAAAAATCAATAAAATTAGAGCAGAAATTTTAATATGTCCAAAAAAGCATCACAATAGAGGATGGCAATCATATCACACCTTTTCAGAGCAGAACCTTAGACCCTTGTCAGGATAATCAGCTTCATAAGTCTCACCAAGCAGGGGATTAAAAGGTTTACAAGTACGGCCCTCTGTTGAAGAGTACCCTGACACTGCAAAAGCTCCAACATAGAGAAGCCTCATGAGGCTATTACCCTGTGTGTAGAAAGGCTTCAAGTTAGTTAAAAACTGGGGGGAGACAGACGAGGTAATCGATTGCAAGAACATAGTAAAGCTACTGTGCATGAGGAATGAATTGATGAGAGAAAGACTCACCCTTTTCCCGTATTCTGCTGCCCTGTCCAAGAGGTACGAATACTCCACATCCTCAAAAGCCCGCTGTAAAGATGAAATTGGCTCATTGAAGTAAACGGGTAAGCAGACCTTTGTGAGATCCCTACCGATGTTGTCCTTGATCATGGACCACAGACTCACACTTCTCTCTTCCTCTTTAGGATCTGGTAGGGACTTTCGCCGAGAAAGTTTCGGGTAATCAAACCCCACTATGTCCATGTTAACTTCACCATGTGTTGGAGACTCTGAGTGATGATTTGGAGGATTCACAGAGCACTTCAGTGTCTCCTTTGCTTCAAAGAAGACATCGTCCTCATCGTCAGAGTCAACTTCGACACCACCCTTGTGGCTGTGGTTGTCCTCATCCGACTCAGTGTCGCTTCCTCCTGTTGAATGGATGCCAAAAAAAAAAAATAAGAAAAAACGTGGTTACGCTCGGTTACAGCAGCCCAACCCAAAGAAAAATCACATTCAAACCAAGAAACACAAACAATTCTTAAGAGAGTTGATGTTCACAATTTTACAGAAAATATCTACAGAAAATCGTCACAAAGAATCGTCCCAAAAATTCTCTAGATAATAAAACTAAACTGTGTTTGTTTTTATTTCATTTTATTCTATTCGGAGAGAGAGAGAGAGAGAGAGAGAGAGAGAGAGAGAGAGAAGAAGCTGCAAGCATGCTGTGTGAAAGTATAAGGAAACATTTAGCACTGTTACAAGGAACATCACAAAGGAAAATGAAAGAGTACCATAATAATTCTTCAATCTATGAAGCCCACCTCCCCCATGGCTTTGCATTTCATCCACAACAGTGGTCTCCAATTCCACTTTCTCAGCCTGCAAGAAAAAAGCTGAAACTGTCAAAGCAAGACTCTCTTCTCTTTCACGCACACACAGAGTATGAATGACATTGCTCCCAGAAGCGACCATGACAACGTCCAGCGCAAATTAGCTCCTCTATTGCGAGTACCACATACAGGCCGAAAAAATTTATACAATCACAAACTCTATGTCTGTGCACAAAGTGCTGTCGGAAGTTCAACAAGGACTCTTGGCTCGAAGCAAGGGTCACAGTATACCCCAAAGTAGAGGTCACGACGTGTTATACTCGAAGTGGAAGCTAGAACAAACCTCAAGCATTCGCAATCTTTCGAGCAAAGTCAGGCGACGCTGTTGCATAACCTTCAACTGTTCTTTGACATCATTAAACTCCCCGAGCATGACAGCTTCACACTCTTTCACCTTCTCCTCAGTTAATCCAAATTCCAAAAGCTTGAGCCTCAACATCTCAGTAGAGATAGTAATTTCTTCGGAAGGAGTGACTAGCCCAATGAGCAGTGAATCCCGAGGAAACATATCTTTGGCCGCTTGCAAGTTCCCAACCCAATCACTCCTGTCAGCATTTGCCTCTGCTCGAAGGTGCAGCGTTTTCGTTCCCGTGTAGATATAAAACTTTTTGTCGTCTGACCGACTGTAACGAATAGAGGACACCTGCACACGATTGGTAAAATAGTTCTGAGGATGTGAACCATCTAAATCATCTACATCCAACCAACTATGGAACTCCAGTACGTTGATAATCAATATGAACATCCCTTAGCAGTAACAAACTTGAAGTAAGTGACTTCATTGTAAATCAGAAAAAAAACGGTAAAAATAACCCATTCAATGGTCGATTATCCCAATCTGGAAAATCGTATCAGTTCGCAATAATTTGCAGGACTTTAACTCATGTTTTCTCGAGCTTCTTCTTGTGACCAGAACAAGAGTGAGGATCAATGCTGTCTTCGTGTCTGCGTACCTTGAGATGGATCTCTCCAGACGCTTTGCATTGGTTCTGATCAGCGCTGTGCAAATGCAACTGATGATGCGAATTCGTATGCGTGTATTTCTGCTTCTTGGAGAATCTCTGAGCTTCCCCTCCAATAATTCGGAAATTCTTAAACCGATTGTCGTTCACAGTAACCTTATCGTGACCATGGACCTTGTAGTACGAAAATACGCCTTCCTTAAGTGCAAACAAACGAGGACGCCACCCCTTCCCATAATTTACCCACTTATACAAAATTCCGACCACATTGTTGGTGAGAGCACCACCTTGTGGCGTACCGCCCGCCTTCGTGTCCACCACCTGGAAAAGCTCTCCAGAGAAATTGGCAGCCGTTTTCATGCCCCCCTCCGGAGTGACAGTGAAAATCTTTCCAGCCCCACCAGGTAGAAGGTCCGGCAATCCTCGATTGCTGTGCACGCGCTCGCAGCCATTTACCCTCCCCTCACCTTGCGAGACACCAGCACTAGCGAAACCGTTGTTGATAGCCCGAGGCAAGGGTGGCAAAGATGTCATAGATCGGCTCATATTCGGAACACTGTGCCCGATACGACTGCCGCTATTGTTCTTTTTTATATTCTGAACATTTCCGGAGCTGAAAGAAGTCGCATTCTGGCAGTCCTTCAAAGATCGTTGCGGGACACTGGCCTCACACGACGATATAAACATTTTGCCGTTGTCCCTGCCTCCTTCGGTTCCCTCTTTGTCCACGGGAACAGGCGCGATGCAGCACAGTGAATGCATTCAACCTAATCTAGTGGCATGCATTCCCTCGTCGTCTCGATTCCTCTCACACCCAAAGAAATCCACGTAACACCAACCCCGCTCTCAGATCGAACTACTGCCCTTCCTCATCCATTGAGTCCCATCTCTCAAGCATCTCCACTACCATCCCACAACCACGCTCTCACAACATCATCCCTCATTGACAACCTCCCTTGCACAACACTCATATCCTCCCCTCTCCTCTCCCCTCCCCGACTCCCTGTCCACCGAAATCGTGTCACCAATCACCACGCCGTGTCTCAAGCACACCAAACAGAAATAATTATCAACACCCACGCCAACGCCACGTCCTCTGTGGCCGACTCGACGACGACGACTTCACGCAATCGAAAAACCAATCCGCACTGCAATGCTGTTCCACATCCCACCCACCCTAGGCGTCACTCGCACTCACTCACCACCCCTGGTCCTGTAAACCCACAACACTGAGTCCTTTGATTTTTTGCACAAGAATACAGCAAGATCCGCTTCGACGGACAACCGTTTCCCCAAAGCGAAGGCGTGATGGAGATCTGTCAAGTACGAGGGCTGAGAAGGAGGAGGGGACTGGCCCACCAGGTGAGTAGTTCACCTTGGCAACGTCCGCATGCTTGGCAGGCGCGGAAGGTAACAGGGCAGCCGCCGCTCGCTTGCTGCAGCATCTGGTCTCATCGACCTCCGCTGCACCTTCCCCGGGATCGAAGCCACCCCGCTCGCTCGCTCGATCGATCCCCTCACCGCGACTGCGATTCCGTCTGACCACGCCCTTTGTTGGCTTCGCACCTCACCTCGCCCCGCGTCGCTCCGTTCACGCATGATTGCCCTACTTCCCCTCGTCGTCGTCGCGCGAAGTCTTTCTTCGTGCGTCGGAATATTCTCCGCCATCGCACAACTGCCTTTCCTGGTGTCCTGAGCTTCGGCCTCCGGAAACCATCCGCTTCGGCGAGCTTCGCAAGGGAGCCTCGGCGCTGTTGCGAGGTATTAGGGTTCCTAAAACCCTAGTAATTCCAAGTTGGGTTGCCTTTGAAGTTTAGGGGTTTTCCATGTTTGGTCTTTTCCTCAGTCAAGCACGAGAGAACTTTTATTTATTTACGTAGTTATATTTTTTATGTCCTTAATTTATTTGTTTGGGTGTGTTTTTGATTTTAACGTAATCGCTTTCAAAACTCTCAACATGTGGGTTCTTTGAAGAGTGTAAAGACACTTGGATAATATTCTTGTTCAAATAATTTTGGAACTACTCTAACAAAATAATATGTTGCAAACTTTTATGTTTATATTTCTAGTTTTGGATTAATGTTGTGGAATGTCTTTGTAGTTATCAAAGGTTGCTGTTTTAACCAGCAACAATTGTGAAAAAAAATGAGCAATGTTGTTATTGATTTTAAATTTTTTGCGAAATATAATAGGGTTGGGCCTGCCAGTGTTTTACTTTTTGGTTACAAAGATGCATTGTTACTAAGCCTATCATTATTTTACATAAAATAACATCTTTATTGTCCGTTTTGTTTCGAAGAGTGATTACATTTACGATATTGAGAAATCAGTCATTGAACATTCGTCAAACAAATGTATTAGTGAAAAATTTGTTCCATCTTTGAGCAGTGGTATTATTTCTTTTGCTTGTAAAATAATATGTTTGGTGCAATTTATGGGCACAACTGCAATTGGTCATGCCATTTATTGCAAAGTATGAAGATGGATTTCATTCCAACAGTTTTGCAAGGTCCTCAAAATTCAAGTCAATATACTTAAGTTCAATATTTTATCATCAAAATTGACAACGAAGTAAGACAACAAAATAATGTGAATTTATCAAAAAATGCAATAATAAAAAAAATAATAATAATGCCATGTTCATATGTATGTTTGAAATAACTAGAGTATGGAATTTGTTTCAAAAAATTACATAATTCCTTTGATTTACAGTAAATGATTAATTATTTATTTGTAGTCGAACAAGAATTATGTCTCTTCTGATTTATGCCCAACGTGAACTTCTGGAAGACAATATTAAAATGGGAGAGTACCAAATGGATGAGGAAAAAGGGGAAAGGAATGAAAGTATTTTAATATTATACTTTATTTCTGTAATTTATTATAGAAATAAATTATAATATTAAAATAAAATTTTATATTTTTTACAATTATGTTATTAAATTTTTCTTTATTATTAATTTGTAAATTTTGTCAATAAAGTGGTTGCATGATATTTATATGAATTGAGTGTGTGTTTAAATATCTAGGTCTATATTCTTTTTATAGATACAAAGCCTTTGCATACATACACAAAACTTAATTGAAAATATCTAATTTCTACACTACCTATAAAGTATGTTATAAAATTAATAGATTATAATTAATTAATATTTTTTTATTTTAGAGATTATATATATATATATATATATATATATACATACATACATACATACAATAGAATATTAAATAGACCCAAGTTTTTACTAAAATTGATCTACCCATGATGAAGAATATGATAATCATGGTGAATGTGGTTGGTTTTCATTGATTTTGGATCTAGTAGTAGAGAATTGAATGTAGAGTTTTATTTCTTTTCTTCATCATGGTTAGGATGGGTAGGTCAATTTAATAAAAGCTTGGGCCTATTTAACATTCTCCTATGTATATTTTTTTTATATACATATTTTTACAAAATATATGACCATTTAATTGGCTTTATTATATTTTTAGATTTAAATAACTAACAAACTTATAATGTGATTGACAATTTGTTTTATAAAAATCAACTTTGGATTTAAATATATATATATATATATATATATATATAGAAATATATCCTTCAAAGGAGATATTTGATAAGTATAGTTTAATAAAATAATTTTAATTTTTTTATTCAAGACATGTAGTTTTTAAAACGCTTGTTTGAGTATAGTATATTAAGTTTTTCAATTAAATATTGTTAGAAGTAAGATTGAGATAACATAAGATTATTTAAAGAAATATAATACATGAGTTATTTATACATCTTTATTGTGTATAATTATATTTCAAATTAAACATAAATACATAAAAATGATAAATTACATAATAAGTAACAATAATTTATATGATATTTAAGAAAATCTTAACTATACTTCACATTTTTTTTTTATAAAAATTGAAACATATATATTTTTTTATGTTATAAATATATGTATATATATATATATATATATATATATATATAAACTTATAATTCTTATCATACATTCTCTTTACAAATTATAAAATAAGTTAATTTTAAAAAATTGAATTCAATAATAGTTATTATTATCTTTGTTTATGTATCATTTAAGGCTTAATGATATGTACTTTTATATTAGATAAAATGTACTAAAGATAATTAAACTTTTATTAAATTCTAGAAACATTCAAATTCATAATAAATTGTAATATTCAATTAAAGAAAAAATCCAAAAGACAACCAAAAAGATGCATACAAAGTTGCAAAGTTTTAGAATGGATAGAAGGATCTAAAATAAACAATATCTATAAATTTTATCATGCGCAAGCTTTAACTACTAGCTAACAAAGTTTGAAAACTTTAATACATTGATCTTTTAATATATATTAAATTTCTAAAAGAATATTTTTAAAGCTTATTTCGCTATAATTTACTATTATAAATTATATTATTTTGTTTATTCTATCCTTACTCTGTACTTCTTGTCAAAATATTTAACCATATTTTTTCTTCAATTTTGTCTAAAAATATGCATCATTAATTAGAGACTATAATTCTTTAATGTATTTGATATAGTTAAGATCTTCACTATATATAACTTGATAAACTTAGAATGTAAGATAGAGTTTTTTTTTGGACTTGATTTGTTAAGAAAATGTGAAATGGTAATTCTTTATTCTTTTATCTATTAAGTTGAAAGAAATTTTAAAACCCTCATAGAAATAATTGTAATACTTTTAGAATAATTAAATTAAATTAATTATTAATTTATTATTTTTCTATATATATATATATATATATATATATATTAGATCAAAAGCTCCATCAAAAAGTCCAAATTCAACCTTCTTGCCTACTTGCTCCATCAATTCCAGATAACCACAAATATAATCCAATACCTTCTACCCCAAACTTTCACGTCTGGTTCACCACTTATGTCTTATTACGTGTTGTTTTGCTCAAGAATGCACCGAGCACCTAGCTGTAGAAGGTGAGATTGTATTTCACAAGTAGCCAAGAAACCCTAATAGATTTTGTCCATACGAGAAGAATATAATCTGAATTTTAATTCAAAAGTTCTTAAAACACTCTTTTTAGTAGTCTTAACCATACATAAATCCCAATTACCTTATTACTTTCATATTTAAGCAATTTAGATTTTTCTTGTAAGTTCCAATCCTAATTAGTGAGCTTTAACAAGCTATAACATCTAATCCGACCATCCACTTGATGTGGAATTTTGCATGCAATTGTCAATGTAAGTGTTCTATATGCTCAAGAATTTTTAGCCCAATCCAACTTATAGATTGTGAAAAAACCTCCAAAAATTGTACTAATGTCACTCGGCCGCCAATTTGAAAAGTGAAGCAAAAATTCCAATAATGATTTCTCCCTTTACAACTATTAACTTTGTCTCAAAATTGGTGTGTAGCTTGATCTTTAAGTCCTTCAACACCATGCCAATTTTCATCTTAATCCAACTAATTGATCTTCAGATATCATAGAAACCTTACTCAATCTCAAACTGCCACCTTCCGAAACCCTCTTGTGCTAGAAACTAGATATCTCTAAACCACGCCATTAGATTATCACAAAAATTTGTATACACTTAGGACACCTAATAATCCAAACAGTGTAAAGTTTTCAATTGTAGATGTCACACCAATTGCACGAACTAGCCAAAATTGCTAGCCCTAATTATATTATATACAACCTAAATCACTAGTACAAATCCTAACTTTGAACAACAATTGTTAAGTGCTCCAAAACCCTCTCAAAAAAATTCTTACGTCTTTAGAAAGAACTTCAAGCTAGCTCTCAAACCCTAACCTCTGATCTTCAAATGACCCCCTAAGTTGTCCTTGGCAATCATTTTAGTGATTAAAGGTCTGATTTTGACCCTGTCTCACAAATGGTTGACCCCCGGGTATCAATCTAACTTATCCTAAGGATTTTTTAGCCCAATTCTACCCTCAACTTGATCCTAGTATCAATCATACCAACCATTTACCTCTTCTACCCTGATTTTATCAATTTATGGTCTTTCTAAGGTAGTAGAAGAGTCTCTACAACCTAGAAGGTAAAATTACTAACTAACCTTCAACCTACTAACTATTAAGATAAGAAAATAACCTAAGAAGCTTTTATAAAAGCCATGTTTAGATACCTCAAATTATAATCGAACTAAGATAATTAGATATTAATTAGAAATTCAATTTTAATTATAATTTCACTATATAGTCGTATTACATTACGACAACGTACTTCTATTTAATCATACAAATAAATATTAAAATAAATATGTATGTCTATGACATAGAAAGGCAAGAAATGCATTCTCTTTCATTGAGATCTTTTAAAGTTATGATAAAAAAACAATATAACTATACAATTGGATAGTAGGAATAAATTAAAGCAATTATACCACCTATGTTTTAGTATCCTTGCAAAGAATTCCAATATTAGAGATACGAGATGCATTAAGTTTTGATGAAGCAAAAAACATTGTTAAAAATAATCTTAAGATAGAATAGATATTAAAAAAATTAATGATTATAAGACATTTAGACACAATATAGAACTATGGCCTTACTTCCAAAGAATCTTAAGATGATGAATATAGAAATATAAAGTTTTCATGAAGTAATAAGTTTTGTTGTTGAAGCTCTTAATATTTACATCAGGCATAAAATTTTTAGTAAATTTCTAAGAAATATCAATATATAAAATATAAAAAGTATTATTTTTTTATAAAATAAGAAGTATTGTTATTTAAGCTTTTCATAATTATATTAGGAATAAAAATTCTAATATACTTTTAAAGTATGCCAAAATAAAGAATATGGAATATATAAAGTTTTAATAAAATAAGAAATACTACAAGTGAAGTATCTTTAGTTAATTTCAATATTAACAACATTCCAAAGATATATTTAATATTATCACAAAGACCTTAGCTTAATACTTCAAATTAGTCCTAACTTATATCTACAAATTAGAATTGGTATTAGTGATGTTGTTGCAGTAGAAGGGATGAATTTGAGTACCTTCTTTGACATATTTTGAAGAGAAGGAATACACACTTGTTTTTTTTAGAGTTGTAAAAGTAATCCAATATCTACCTTAACCTTTAAAAATAATATTGTATTTTCAAAGTATAATCAATACTTTTTTTGTGAGTTAAAAAATTAATATCTAAATTTTAAGTTACAGATTTTATATATTTTTTTAATCTAGCAATAACTACAAATTATTCATCAATCCTAATTAAATACTTTGATATTATCTTTTTAAAAATAAAATAAGAAATTCTTATCATTACTCTTGGCTAAAGTACATATGAAACTTCATGTGCAATTCATAGTTATGAAATGGATATAGAAGAATTTGACAACTATAATCCTACTATTGCAATTAAAGTTGTGAATTACAAGATTTGGTTTTAAAGCGGTATCTAGTTTCTTCTTATAAAATAATGTCATTGAGGCCTATCAACTCAAACAACTAGCGTTGCCATTGTGGACTATTGAATTGTAATAGTCTTTAGATTCAATTTTAGCTGCCATGTCAAAGTTTGGAAAAAGAGGGATAGAATGAAAGAGAACCAATGGAATAGGCAAGTTGAAGGACATGCTTCTATAATTGATTGATAGATTCTTTAGTTGGTTGTTGTAATTCTTATAAATAATCATATCATTATGAGTGTTACAATGTATTAGATAGGCAAATACAATGTCTAAAAGAATTAGATTCATTAGCTTGTTATTTAGCTTGAATTAGAGGAGTAAAAAAGTAAATATAATTAATTTAACAGGCATGAAAATCCAATCTTTGAGGGCCCATGAAAATTTAGAAGCTTGACGACCTCAGAGAGGAAAAAAATCAGAATAGAATAATTTTAATTTCATTTATTTTAAAAAAACTTCTCCTATTTTTAAATTATGTAAACAAGAACATTATATTAGAGTAGAAGCTCCTAAATTTGATTATTTATAATAAAGAAATGTACAATATTGAACATAATACAATAAAATTTTGATATATTTGGTGAAAATTATCAGCTGGAATATTGCCTAAATATCCAATAACGGGTTCTTTTTTCAATTAAAATATTATAATAAAATAATCAATCATAAACCTACTAAAGAAATAAAGAAATAAATTTGAATTCTTTATTTTAAAAGTAAAATCTAATATCAAAATAGTTGTAAGACAAAATAATTGTTTAGTTAAAGGAACGATCAAGTTCTAATTCCATAAAATATTTCTTATTGTGTAATTTTTTAAAAATGCTTATATATAACATTTATATGAATAAGTAGTAAAAATTACATAGTTTGAGCTCACGTCAATTGCGTTTCCTGCAACCCACTGAGCCATGTAATCCTACACTCTGCATGCTATGCTCCTTACGAGCTCTCACTTTCTCCGCTGCGGCGACCTCGGACATGGTCACATTCGCATGGTCTAAGCTTAGTTAGAATCCTTCATGCTCCTCAACTTCACTTCGTATATATTATCCAAGACCCGTCTGGATGAGCAACCCTCCCTCTATCTATATATATATATATATGTGTGTGTGTGTGTGTGCTTGTGTTTGTGTCTATATATATATACCAGCCGTGCCCTCTGCTACCCTTCATGAATTATAGTTCTTGCCGGTTATCTGCTGCCACGAACAGGATGAACTAAATAACATGCAAGATAAATGTTCGATTAGGGTTTTAGGCATAGGGCCAAAAACCTCAGGATTTATCGATTCCTTGTGCTGTGCGTCCTTATTTGACTTGTGAAAAATCTGCTAAACTTTGTAGCTGGACCTGTTGCTCGTTCGGGTGGAGTAAGGAATAGCTGAGTAAACTGGGACCATGGTGCGTGTGCGTGTGCGAACGCTGCAGAGGGTGACGGTTCCGCCAAGTCTTTTCCCCAACGCGTCGCCAGCAGCGACGCATTCTCATCGTGTGGCTGCTCATGTGAGTGATTATTGACAATATGAATGGATTGCGCTTGAGGCCTTTGTCGTAAGGAATGCTGGTTTTGGCCATGGGCGGATTCGCATTTTGGTGAATTTTAAGCTTACCTTGGCCTTACTGGTGCTGGAATTAAGCTCCCGATTAATACTTGGTGATCCTACCTCAGTTTTAACGCCAGGAAGGGCACACTATGGACTGTTTTAATACTTGGTTTAAAATCTTCAGTTAGTAGGCATGAGGTAGTTTTGCGCTTCAATCAAGTCGCGAAATTTAAGATAGTTGTGCAACAGTTGACGCTGAGTTGGGTGCCTCTATTTCTCTTTGTAGCGTTGTGGAGGTTTTTGGAAACATTCGCTGGTGAGCATTTTCATGAATTTTGAGTCGTAATAATTTGAGCGTTGTTTTCAAGCTGAATTTGACGGGATTGGTGTGTGTGTATACATGATGATCAGTTTGCAGATAATGGCACGGATTGTAACGTCTACCTCGCTTCGGGTCTGGATGTGTATTGTATCAAAGTAAGGCCGATATGTTCCCGCCTGGCTTTTCCCCAAGTGTTGTCCTCATAAGGTCTGGATTTATATCAGTATTTAATGCTTCTCTTGCACATAGAACTGCTTCTCTAGGATCTAAGACATGTTGTCACCCCTTATTGTGGTGAGGATATAGTAGAAAGCCTGAATTGTATTGGTAGGCAAATTGTGAAGTCAGAAACAGTACAAGCGTGAAATGTGCTGTTGTACGAATCCTACTAGTTACACACTGGGACATCGAATTGATGTTCTGATAATGTAGCGGCTCCTGGATTTGATTGTGCGTAGATGGAGTTGAAGGAGACTGGTGCCGATGCTGGCAAAGATGGGCTACTGATACCTGTGGATTCTGAGGTAATAAGTTACTTCCGACTTCGATGGAATTGGATTGTGATTGACACTCTTTACTCAGTGATGCCTTTAAACGTTTTCTTCGTTTTGAAGGTAGTGCGTGCATGGCAAGTGGAACAGTGCCCACATCGAGCAGAGATACAGGGCATTGCGCTCATTCCCTCCTCCAGTAAGTCCATGTCCGAATTTTTCGATTTGTAATGTTTAATGGAGATTGAGATTTGTATTAATCCTGTGGTATAGATGTTTTGGAAATCTATCGGAATTAAAATTTTGTTTTTACGAAGAAAGGCATGTATCGGTTGCTGAGGGTTCTGAATGTCTTAATCGTATGTAGCATTAGAATTGGAAAAATATATATCCGCGCTCATTGCATCACTTTCTGGAGCTCTTATAGCCTTGAACGTCTTTGGCCATCCAGTATTCATGATGACGGTGATTTGACTTCTGTTAGGTATTGTTGGAGGACCAGGTATTTTTAGTATGACTCATGTTTTAAGAATTGGCACGATACAGTTTTCTTAAACAATTAAGAATGGAATTATTCAATGTCTTGTCTGATCAGATTCTGAAATTTTGGCTGTTGCAGGTGATGATGGTTTCTTTTTGGGGTCAGTTGACGCATATGGTCGCTTCATCGTGACCTCCTTGAACTCTGATATCCCAGGTACCATCATTGGTGGTTGAACATTTTAACTTCTAGGCAACCAGATTTAGGGTTTAGGGTCTGGTGATTGCCCTTCATATTCTAAAGTTTACTTGTTCAGTGGAGCAGTTTCTGTGAAGCACTTGGTACGAATATTGCCATTATTAATATGGATATATGGCTATGGATAATTGTGCACTTGTTCAGGATCCTCATACACAGCAGGTCCGCGGGACGCAGGAGTCGGTGAAGGCTGGTGGGCTGGTATCGTGTTTAACCGTAACGTGCCTTCTCTGGTATATGATGCTTTGACCTCCCATTTATAAGGTTGCTAAGTATGTGTTCGGAAAAATTCTTCGATGCCTCATGATAGACTGGAGAAGAGTTCTACTGATTCCCACACTGAAGAGAACTACTATTTTGTGGTCATTCATCTAAGAGTGCAGCAGAATATTGGTAAAAACAGAATCATTAAGAAATCTTGTATGAATTTGCCACTTACGAGCTCCTTATCAAGGTTTCCAAAGTATGTGGAGTGCAAGGTTGTAAAGCAGGTCGTCTCAAGCGGATGAAATGTGTTGGGTTTTTAAGCAGGCAGCAGTTGGACGTGGCTTCGCCAAAGCGGTAGATGTGTATGACAAAGACATGCATGTCCGCACATTACGCACGTAAGTGTGGTAAGCTGTTGTACATCCAACTGTTAGGCCTGCAACAAGCTTTAATTGGATTTCCCACTGCTTATTGAGAGGTAGAGCGCTGGGTTGAAAGTGAGATAAACTGGTATGCTGTTTGAACACGCACTGGAGTATAGCTCATTGTTACATATCACTTGTATTGTGAGAAAGCCTCGATGCATTTAAGTAGTCTCAAGTGTGTAGGTTAACTTATATTTCTATCTTTGCCCTAAAGAAGATTGGTTGTCTCTTCCTACACATCAAATTTCCTTGCTTAATGGTGGATTCTTTTTTGCTTTGGCTAATTCCCATCATATTTATTATGCGTACAGTTTTCAGTTTAAGTTTCTGATGAATAGTTTGATGGTAGCAGATTGCAGCATCCCACTTGCTTGACGTTTCTACAAGGGCCTTTATTTGATAGTGGCACGATTCTAGCAGTTACTGAAGGGCCCCAGGTCTATCGCAAAACCCTCACATCATGCCAAAAGGATAGCTAAAGAGGAGCTTTGGGATGATTTTCAGCTTAGCAAATAAACCGTTATATCTACCACGGAGAATTTAAAGCTGTACGAAATGGCTGTTGCTGCGTACGTGGTGTTACTCATTTTGTGGTTGAAACTATTGCTCAATTTTCCACTGAATTTGCAGTTGAGTATTTGGGACCTGAGGCAAGCTGAGCGAGGTGGCTGCGTGCAACGAATGTTGGGCGCATTTACTGGAGACAGTTTAAACGCTATTGCTTGCTCATCAGAGGGTCTGGTAGCCGTTGGGGGTGCGGAGCGTGTTGTCATGGTTATGGATCCTTTGAAGTGAGCCACGCAATACTTCTCTCAAGCTTCAACATGTGTTTGTGCATGATAGGTTACATGCTCTAAGTATCTTGTAAGCTAAACCAGGAATGTCTGTTTCTTGATGTGGTAAACTATTCTTTGTAACTACTTCTAAAACTATTCTTGTATTGCGTCAGGTGGACTCCAAGGTCGCGATGGACTGGTTGCCTGAAATATGAGGTATGTTTGGCTCGTTCAGCTATTTTGGTGGACCTCTTCGGCTTCACTAAGGCATTGAGATATTGACTGTATTTCGTATCAATGTTTGGAGCAGAGGTGCAAAATGGTGTAACGAGTCTGAAATACTTTCATCTTCTCCATGCAGGTCACAGGGTTATCATTTTCTGCAGTGGATCCCGGGCTTATTTATGTACATGGATTAGACTACGAGGTTTTCAACCCCCCCCCCCCCCCCCCCCCCCAGCACACACACACACTTCTTTCTGTTCTATTCGTTCTTTGTTTCTTGGGATCAGCTTTCTGCGTATGTCATTCGTGGAATTTTGAATGGTTATTGGAGCTGAAGAATTGGGACTTAACCAGCTCATTTACCTTTTGAAGCATATTCAAGAACAATTCCGATCCGCAGAGTTGATTACATTTCAATGCCTGTACCAGGAAATAAAACAAAGAAATGATGTTCATATCTCATTAATCGTGTATCTTGCAGGTTGTTTGTGCACCTTGGAATAGAGAAAAGACTGGTGGGAGCAATACTCCAGCATTTTCCTTTCGAGGGGACTCTAGGTGGCTTGGTTTTGACAAAGTATAGACCCACTTTTCTCATCTTTTTCCATGGCTTAGCTTATTTAGATATCAGCGAAGTATACAGAAGAGAGCAAGAAGATTTTCTAATCCATTACCAGACGTTTCCTTGTGAATGTGTAGAATTGCTTCTATGCACTTGTTTCCTTGATTTCTACACCCACGCTGCCTCAATCTGATATCTCGGTCTCTTGCCAGTGCTGTGATTCAGATCTCTTTGCAGGTTGGAGTGAAGCTGGCACAATTTACGCTGGTCATGTGGATGGCAACGCAGATCTTTAGGCCTCCTCAAGTAGAGAGGAAAACATAAATGCAACTGATGGTGCAGAAATTTATCTCCTGTTTGCGATGAAGCCAATAGCGCAGTGACTTTGGTCCTCACATTGTGATCATGATAAACTATACATAAACTTCAACGATGCCCACAGTAGAATCAGTCGTGCACCTCGGACAATTTTCTAAGGAGTAGAGGTGCTCACTTCCAAAAGAAAACCTTTTGAAGCGTTTGCAATTGAGTCCACCTATGCTGAGTAATCCAAACAGTGTGACAGCAAGAGTATTGGTTGCTATCAGAGAAATTTTTAGCATTATTCATTTCTTTCACTCAACAGCTTATCCCTTGCAAGTCATGGAAACATACAATATGTAGCAGTGGCCACGAACTTTTTCGAGTTTTGGAAGCAAATCATGCTCTTGCTTTGCAATCGATAAGAAAATGGAAACATGTTTTGATTGTGCAAATATTTGTGGATGGAGGTTTATGATGGTCGAAGTGGTCTAGGCAAGTTAACGGACATATAAAATCACACAAGTAGAGAAATAAAAATAGAATAAAGTTGTTTTACTAAAATTTGGAGTAGTAATTCAGGGTTTTGAGGGTTTTACTTTAAAACCCTCAAAACCCTTAGAGATTGTTTAGAAAATGTCCTAAGCACATACTATAGCCATGCTTCTACTCCTTATATTTTGTTTTGTTTTTGTTTTTATTTGTTTTGTTTTCCCTAGCTTGGTTTTGAGAGAGTATTAATTTTTCTTCTTAAATTATGCCTCTAAACCACACTATTAATTAAGAACAATACTTAAGTTTGGCTGCTTTGTGATTCAAATTGAGAGGTGAATTTTACCTTTAGAAGAGGCTAATTGTTTTGTACAATGAGTTCAATTGGATTGTGTCACGGACACAAAATATAGACTTGAAATCTAACAAGAAGTTCAAAAAGAAGTGGAAGAACTAGATTAAACAGATGAGTATAAGAACAACACCAGAAAGGTGAGCTAGAACTCCAAGAGATGTGTTGTTGAGACTGAAGAACTCTTCAGCCTCGATTCCTATATATACTCCTACTTAGGAAGCTTCTCGAGCTACTTCTATTAACTAGGAAGCTTCTAGAAGGTTCCAAAGGCTTCTTTTCTAGAAGGTTCTAGAAACTTCTCGAGTTACTTCTATTAACTAGAAAGCTTCTAGAAAGTTCCAGGGGATTCCTTTCTAGAAGCTTCTAGAAACTTCTCTTCTAGAAGGTTCCAGAGACTTCCTTCTAGAAGCTTCTAGAAACTTCTCTCTAAAAGGTTCCAGAGGCTTCTCTTCTAGAAGGTTCCAGAGGCTTGTTTTCTAGAAGGTTCTAGAAACTTCTCTTTAGAAAGTTCTAAGGAATATGTCCCTAACATCACCCCCTCCTTTAGCTTCGAGGTCTCTGAGAAGCAATGTTGTTGATCAGTACCAACGCAAGTAAATGAAGATCTGTCGCATAACTTCTGCTATGAACTCCAACTGTTGTTCACGAGGCAAGTGGTTCATCGACCCTTGAAGCCAACGGTAGTGGCCCACGCCTTCGACTTCTGACCAAGCATGAACTTCCGTGTCCTCATTGTGAAATTGTCCTGCAAACACGCCTTCTGGTTGACCATCGTAAGCAGGCTCGATCTCAAATACGATCACCAGTGATCGGTTACTCGGTATCCTCCGTCATCGTCGTGGTACATGTAGTTCTTCATCTCGGGGTCGCCTTCGTGAGCTACTCGGTTGCGATACTCTGACTGGCATAGTATCTATCTCTTGGCTATCCATATCAAAAGACCAAACTACGATCTATCTTGGAGAAAATAACTACATCAACTATGAATTTTGCTGGTGCTCTCCCCTTTTCTTATATTGTTGGGAGAACAAGCTTCAGAATGAAGCTATCATCGAATTGATTTAGGTTTATCGGGATGTCGTTGATGAAACTCATGTACCTTTTGTAGCACATTCGCAAGATTTTCAGCTGGCTCCCACGTTCGCTCATTAATGTCATAGCCGCACCAATGAATAAGATATTCTAACTTTCCCCACCTTTGCTGTGAATCCAATACCTTTTCAACCTCGTATTCTTCGTGGTTCTCGATTTCAATACTAGGTAGCGGACATTGCACTCTTCCATGAAAAGATCACTCTCAATAAGGTTCCAACAGAGAAACATGAAAGACTGGATGTACCTTCATAGAAGCCGGTAACTCCAGCCGGTATGCCACTGGATTAATTTGCTTCTGGATGATAAATGGTCCCAATCTTCGATAGTCCAACTTATCACATGGTCGCTTGGTCTTGATGTTTCGTCGAAGAAGCCAGGCTTTGTCTCCAACTTTGAAAATAGGTGCTGGATTCCGAAATCTATCTGCAGACGTCTTATAGGATTCTTGAGCGGATTGTAATTGAAGCTTCAATATAGTTTGAAGCTCTCATAGTTGCTTCGTAAATCCTTCAGCTGCTGGATTGTTATTTGTTGACGGACTCAATAAATCAAGCTTCGGATGATACCCATAGTTGGAAAAGAATGGTGTTTGTTGAGTCGACGCATGGAGGGTGTTTTTATATGCAAACTCGGCTAGCGGTAGATATGCAGTCCAATCGTCTTGCTGATAGTTGATGCTGCATCGTAAGTACTGCTCCAAGACTTGGTTCACCCGTTCCGTTTGGCCATCAGTTTGAGGATGAAAAGCTGAAGAAAGCTTGATATCCACCTTCAATATCCCAAAGAGAGATCTCCAAAACTTTGACACGAACTGGGTACCTCGATCTGATATGATATCATCTGGTAGTCCATGATATCGATACACATTATCGAGAAAGAGTCTTGCTGTGACTTCACTGGACGATGTCTTCTTACAAGGAACAAAGTGTGCCATCTTCGTAAGTCGATCTACCACGACAAAGATGCTGTCAAATGAGTTTGATGATGGCAAGTCCGTGATGAAGTCCATAGAAATTGAAGACCATGGTCGACGTGGAATTGGCAATGGCTATAGAAGTCCATAAGGGCGATGCCAAGGATTCTTAGATCTTGAATAGATGTCACAAGAGAGGACAAAATCTTTCACATCCTTCCACATTTGGGGCCACCAAAAATCTCGGGAAATAAGCTCCAAGGTCTTGTTGAATCCAAAATGTCCCGCAGCTGAAAAATCATGGCGAGATTGAAGAACTCGGAGTCGTGCTAGTCCTTTTGGAATGTACAATCGCTCTTCAAAGTATAAAAGATCTCCCTCCACCTTGAACTTGTCGTCGTTGGTACGTTGCTTGATATCAATGGCTACTGAATCTTTAATGGTCATAGCACATACCTGGTTTAGGAAGTCAGCATCAAATGATACAATAGTAGCACAAAGTTGAAATCTCTCTGGCTTCAATAACGTTGTACATTGTTGATCAAACGTTGCTTCTCCAGCCTTTGGTGCAAGATACGATCTCCTTGATAAAATATCGGATAGTCGTTGCTACCTTCCAGGTCGATAAGTGATAACAAAATCGAATCTAGATAGCGACATATTCCACCGAGCTTGATGCCGATTTAAAACTCGAGCCGTCATGAAATACTCCAAATTCTTGTGATCCGTATATACGGTTACTGGATGTGCAGCTCCTTCAAGAAAGTGACGCCATTCTTCGAAAGAATCCACTATAGCAAGAAGTTCCTTATCGTGGATCTCATAATTGATTTCAGCAGCAGAGAACTTTCGAGAATAGAATGCAACTGGATGGAGCTTCTTATCTTCACTCATTTATGAAAGCACAGCTTCCAAAGCAAAATCTGAAGTATCAGTTTCTAAATAAAAGGCCTTTGTAAAGTCTGGATGTACCAAAATTGGAGCTGTAGTAAATGCTGTCTTCAAATCTTGAAACGCCTTCTCCGCCAAAGGTCCCCATTCCAACTTATCCTTGAATGTTAATCGAGTGAGAGGAGTAGCAACTTGAGAATAATTCTTGATGAAGATCCGATAGAAGTTAGCAAAACCAAAAAAGCATTGTACGTCTCTAACCGTCTTCGAAACCTCCCAAGACATGATTGCTTCTACTTTCTTGGGGTCCATCTTCAAACCTTCTGTAGTCGCAATAAACCCCAAAAATTCCATCTCCGTCTGGTGAAATAAACTCTTTTCTAATTTGGCATATAGTCCTCGCTTGCGTAGTTTCTCCAAGACCAAACGAACATGCTCCTCATGCTCTTCCTCATTTTTAGAGAATATTAGAATATCGTCCAAGTAGATGACAACAAAATCGTCGAGGTGTTCTCGAAAGATGTCATTCATCATATGTTGAAAAATCGCTGGAGCATTGGTAAGACCAAAAGGCATGACATTATATTCGAAATGACCATACTTTGTACGGAATGCTGTCTTCTACTCATCTCCTTCCTTGATTCGTACGAGATTATAAGCTCCCCTTAGAACAATTTTTGTAAAGATCTTTGCATGTCCAAGTTGTTCTAAGAGACTAGAAATCAAGGGTAATGGGTAACGATTTTTCTTTGTTACCTTGTTGAGGCCTCGATAGTCCACATACATCCGTAATGATCCATCTTTCTTCTTCACAAATAAGATGGGTGCTCCAGCTGATGATTTTGAATGACGAATGAAGTTCTTGGCTAGATTTTCGTCGATGTACTTTCGTAACTCTGCCAACTCCATTTGCGATAGATTGTAGATTGGGCCAAAAGGTGGTTGTGCTCCTTTTTGCAAGTCTATGGCACAATCATATGGTCGGTGTTTCGGTAGTATGTCGGCGTTCTTCTTTTGAAACACGTCTTCAAAATCTTTATATTGCTCCGGTATACTTGCTGTTGAGATCTTCTCCTCGGTAGTTGGAGTCGTATCAATGACAAATGGAGTGCCTTCCTTAGATGATCTTATAAACACTCTTGCTCCAATGAATAAGGATTTCTTTTTTCGAGGTTTTTTACTAGGTTTTTTCTTGGGTGGTTTTGTGGGAAAAGTCATCTTTCGCAACCTCCAATCTATCAATGGATTATGTTTTTTCAACCAAGAAAGACCAAGAATAATAGGATTTGATGGGGTTCTAATAATATTAAAAATAATATGACTACTATGGTCTTTAAACGTTACTTCTATAGGTTTTGATTCATGTGTGATGCTACCAGACAATAAAGGTCGCCCATCTATGACCTCAACATGAACAGGTTTTGATTTTTGTACTAAAGGGATCTTATGACGCTTTGCAAATTCTTCGTCTAAAAAACAAGCAGATGCTCCTGAGTCTAGTAGTGCTAAGATTCTCAGTTTTTGAGGGCCGATAAACAGATGGATTGTAAAACAAAGTGCAGGTTGGGCAG